GGAAAAAATACTTGTATAAGCCTGGAGAGGCTTGTCAAAGAATCCTCACTAAGAGCCTGAAGAGTCTGAACAAAGAATACTAGCGCTAATAAGTGAAGTTAGCGGGCCAAGAGTGGTCGATAATCCTCATTGAGAGCCTGAAGAGGCTGAACAAAGAATACTAGTGCTAATGAGTGAAGTTAGCCAACTAGGAGTGGTTAATAATACTCGGGGACCAGGAGTGGTCGATAATACTCACTGAGAGCCTGAAGAGGCTGAACAAAGAATACTAGTGTCAATGAGTGAAGTTGGCTAACCACGAGTGGTTGATAATACTTAGGGACCAGGAGTGATCGAGAATACTCACTACGAGCCTAAAGAGGCTAAACAAAGAATACTAGCGCTGACGAGTGAAGTTGGCGGGTCAGAAGTGGTCGACAATACTTGGCAAACCATAAGTGTTGATAACACTTGTACTTAAATGAAAATCTAGTGGCACCCTTCAATTGAAGGAGACTGGACGTAGCTCAGTCTAAGCAAACCAGTATAGAAACCTTTGCACTATTTATCTATGTTTTAGACACAATTTCGTTTACTTGATATAGCATATTGAATATTTTTTCCATTTCTTATTCTTCACTATAACTCTCTTCAGACGAAAAAGACACTTGCTTAACTTATTATTTTAAGAAATATTTTCCTTGTGCAGACGATAAACTTTCAGACAGAAAATCCTTTGTTGAGCAAATCCTGCACAGTTCTTAAGTATTAAAATAATATTTTTATTAGACAAAAAAGAGTTCCTCTGCAAAAACAGTTTTAAAATTCCTCCATTCACACACACATATTCAACCCCCCTTCTATGTGTTTTTCCTCTAACTTCAATTGGTATCAAAGCTTGACCCCTTGGGTTAAGCAATTAACATTGTATGGGTAGAATACGATCCATTGAAGAATAAAGGACAAATGGGAAGTCTAAAAGCAAGGACGACAAACTATTGGACTAGGTAAAATAGGTATCAAATCATTTACATCAATAAAGCATGTTTCAAATGTCATAAGAGTAGATTGCATCAAATACGCTAGAATATTAATATACTTGTAGTCCAGTTTCTTCTGAAACACAATAGGAAAACAAACGTAGTAAACCACTTCATCTGAATATTCCTCAGAGTGCAGTAAGAAATTACTACATCTCAGAATCTTCGTCCGATGAAGTGTCTAGGTAATTTCTCTTGCGTCTATAAATTTAGTCCTTGCGTCTGAAAATTCAGTCAGGCATATTCCTAATAAATGACCTTCATCATTAAACGTAACATCTGTCAAGAGTAGTGGAAGACAAACATTCTCCGCATTTAAAGGATAAAACTCTTAAATAAATGAGTAACAAAACCATCATTTGGGGTTTTTATTTGAAAAGACAGATCCTTTACCCAGAATTAAATGCGAGCTGCACATGACACACGTCATTCTGCACGAGGCAACCTCTTGCATTGGTTTCACCCAACAAGCATCCTTAACTGCTTGTGAATAACATGTAGGAATAGATATACCAGATAGAGTAGCAGTAAGAGAAATAGCCCCAAAGCCATACCTATCTAGGGGACGAATAATGCATCGTGATCTGCATTCTGCTAACGAAGCAAGTTCAGGTGGAAAATCAGCATCACGAAGGGGCGAGGTAGGCTGTCGTCGAACATAAACATAACCTGGTTTGAAGCGCCTCGTGCAGAATGACGTGTGTCATGTGCAGCTCGCATTTAATTCTGGGTAAAGGATCTGTCTTTTCAAATAAAAACCCCAAATGATGGTTTTGTTACTCATTTATTTAAGAGTTTTATCCTTTAAATGCGGAGAATGTTTGTCTTCCACTACTCTTGACAGATGTTACGTTTAATGATGAAGGTCATTTATTAGGAATATGCCTGACTGAATTTTCAGACGCAAGGACTAAATTTATAGACGCAAGAGAAATTACCTAGACACTTCATCGGACGAAGATTCTGAGATGTAGTAATTTCTTACTGCACTCTGAGGAATATTCAGATGAAGTGGTTTACTACGTTTGTTTTCCTATTGTGTTTCAGAAGAAACTGGACTACAAGTATATTAATATTCTAGCGTATTTGATGCAATCTACTCTTATGACATTTGAAACATGCTTTATTGATGTAAATGATTTGATACCTATTTTACCTAGTCCAATAGTTTGTCGTCCTTGCTTTTAGACTTCCCATTTGTCCTTTATTCTTCAATGGATCGTATTCTACCCATACAATGTTAATTGCTTAACCCAAGGGGTCAAGCTTTGATACCAATTGAAGTTAGAGGAAAAACACATAGAAGGGGGGTTGAATATGTGTGTGTGAATGGAGGAATTTTAAAACTGTTTTTGCAGAGGAACTCTTTTTTGTCTAATAAAAATATTATTTTAATACTTAAGAACTGTGCAGGATTTGCTCAACAAAGGATTTTCTGTCTGAAAGTTTATCGTCTGCACAAGGAAAATATTTCTTAAAATAATAAGTTAAGCAAGTGTCTTTTTCGTCTGAAGAGAGTTATAGTGAAGAATAAGAAATGGAAAAAATATTCAATATGCTATATCAAGTAAACGAAATTGTGTCTAAAACATAGATAAATAGTGCAAAGGTTTCTATACTGGTTTGCTTAGACTGAGCTACGTCCAGTCTCCTTCAATTGAAGGGTGCCACTAGATTTTCATTTAAGTACAAGTGTTATCAACACTTATGGTTTGCCAAGTATTGTCGACCACTTCTGACCCGCCAACTTCACTCGTCAGCGCTAGTATTCTTTGTTTAGCCTCTTTAGGCTCGTAGTGAGTATTCTCGATCACTCCTGGTCCCTAAGTATTATCAACCACTAAGGATACTCGCATAATGAGGGATGTTTGGTGCACAATGGAAGAGCTCACCAATTCCATGACCACAATATGATCTTGCCTGAGGACAAGGGAAAAAATGAGTACGGAAGAACAAATGATAACCCATCCACTAGCGTAAACAAATAAGAGTAAATAGCTTAAAAAAGAAAGAGACAAAGCAATTCATTACCACTGAGAAGCCAGACATTGATGCATGGCGACTAATAACTTCACCAATCTCACGGAATCGTACCCCAGGTTTAACTGAATTTGATTGAAAAGAAAGAATCAGGATCCCACAGTTCAATTTCTTATATTGTGTACGTTTTAAATGTAAGTAAAACAAAGCAATCACAATATAATTCAAAAGCCAAACTCATACATTTATGGTAATCTGTAATCATCAGTTATTAATTAATAGTTCAATGCATATTTAGTAGCTAATATAATATGATTCAATATCAGTTATTTAAGGTGGTAGGAACATAAGAGGGACATGCTGAACCAGCCGTGGCAGTAAAGGCTTTCAAGGGACGTTTTGCTGGTCTTGTGGGGCACTCGGTGATAATATGACCACGTTGTTTGCATTAGTTGCAAAAAATTTTAGTGCAATTTTGAGCAATATGACCGAACTTTTTGCAGGAGAAACATTGGATCTGCCGCATGTCACGACCTTTGCTTTGACCTTGAGCAGAGTAGGCGATCGGAACATCAGAAATATCAGACATGGAGGCTTGGGTAAGCACGAGCCCTAAACGACTGAGAGAAGCACGAACTGAAACACAAAACCAGAGGCACGAGCCCTAAACGGACTGAGAGATAATTACAGGCTAGAAAACCTGACTCGTGATACCATGTTAGAAAAGTTGGCCTTTGATGCCTATCTCATTCCCTTCTTCTCAATAAATAGTACAAAGATGTTTTCAATTATTTATGATAGAAAAATCTAATTCCTAATTTGTAGGAAGTCTAATTATATGGAATAAATAAATTGATTGCTATTCCTAAAATACATAATATATAATAGGAAATAGTAATCGTAATTGATTCCCTCATTAACATATACTATTAAACATAAGAGCAACCAAGCACTACAAAAGTATAGTACAAGCTACCATAGCCGTAAAGATCTTCTTTTTCCTAGTAAGAGATATCAAGCAATAATAATTATTTAGGTCCAACAAAAATAGTAAGTTCATAAGCCATTTTTACTATTCCTTCCATTCCTTTAGTTGGATGGTTTAGGATTCATGCAACTCCAAATGTTGTCATGGTCACCCTTCTTTTCAAGCTTGTGTAAGAGAACATGGTCAAAACCATCTTATATCCCTTCATGGCAGTTCAATTGCTTGATGTAGGATCTGTTCTATAATTTCTACTAGTCTACAACACCAATTAGGTAATTATGATAATCTATATGAATACCTAAATCAGTTAGCTACTATAATCAATTCGGCTAACTGTAGTAACCCAATTTCGTCCGGAAAATGTCAATTTTTGTTTTAAAAAAAAAATATATATATATATAGCAAAAAAGGTATATTTTTAAAAAATAAAAATAAAAATAAAAATAAAAATAATAATAATAAAAAAAAATGTGAACAGTAATTTCGGTGTGAATAGTATTTCCGTGAGTGAATAGTATTTTGTACTGTTCATGAATAGTATTTTCGTGAGTGAATAGTATTTTTTACTGTTCATGAATAGTATTTTCGTGAGTGAATAGTACCTGAATAGTAACTTTGCAATTCCTATAAATAGAGGGAGGGAGTGAAAAAATAAAAAGAGGGAGAGAGAGAGAGAAAAAAAGAGAAAGAGAGAGAGAGAGAGAAAGAGAGAGGAGGTTCTGCCCTAGTTCCGATCCCTAAGAGAGGAGGAGGTTCTGCCCGAAGTTTCTGTTTATCCAGAGGCTAGTAGCTGAAAGAGGAAATAGAGAGAAAGGGAGGGAGATCCGTGGTGGAAGTCACGTTCATCATCTCTTGTGTACAGTTCTATTTGTCATACTCTCCATTTAAATATCTAAGACATTTTTAATAATCAATTTCAAGTTTATTATTCCAAAATATTCATTGAATGGAAGGCTGAGCCTCCTATTAATTTATGAATTGTAATCATGTTTAGATGGAAGGCCGAGCCTCCTTATTTTCTCTTATCCTCTGTTATTTCCTTTTAAGCTTTCTACTTTACTCTATTTATCTTTAATTTCGTCTAAAACCTCATAACAATCTCTAGCAATAATTATAATTAAAATTTCATTGAATTGACTTTGGTGTACACCTTAGTTAATTTTATATTTTTAAGATGAATGAGCTGCGACAGTTCAAGAATCCTATATTTAACAAAAATAAATTTAAATAAAAAAATATCAACACACAAACATTTTCTACAAAGAACTACGTGACTCTGATTCTTCATTACACATGAAGATACGTAGGAGCAAGAACTAAATCTTGTCGAGCCAAAAAAATAAAAAATATATTATCCTCCTTTTTATATAACAATAATAATTTTAACCTTTTTTTCAATGCATAATTTAAATTAATTAAATAAAATATATTTGATAATTTTAGTGAGATAAATATTTTATAAATTATGAATAATTAGTTTAATTAATTAAAGGTAATCGTCTTAGGACGAACGTTGTGAGGTGCTAATACCTTCCTCATACGTAATCGACTCCCGAACTCAAAAATTTGGTTTTTGCAGACTATTTTCTATTTTATGGTTTTTCCAATGTTTTTTCCGTAAAAAATAACATTGGTGGCGACTCCTCTTTTTCAATTTATTTTTCGCCGTCCCGTCGCGACCGAGGTTGCTACACTAACCTTTTTCGGAGATATCTGATTCTTTTTTCTCAACATCTATATGATCATTATGTAATCATTGCAAGTGTTAGTCTATAAAAAACAAAAGAAAATCACAGTAGTTTTGCTACAAGAATTTGCATTTTTTTTTTATTACAAACAAATTCAATTTTCAAAGTATACAAATAAAAAAGTCAAGTAAAATTTGAAATAGAGGAGTTCACCTATCTTTGATGTTGTCAGTAGGTTGAATCATCTCTTGATGTGACAACAACGTATGCTTCACTGTCTTGGTTATGATAAACCAGTGCACGTCCACTGAATGAAATGAAAAATGAATTATTCCATGTTAGAAAAGCATAAAATAATAAGTTACACTAGAATATATCCTCCAATAAACAAAACGGTAAAAAATAGAAATATTTGTTATTTTTCAAAATCTTTTTTCTTTGTTGATACAAACAAATAAAAGTTTTTGGCAACCTATATAAATAGGTGATGGGAAGATCTTGTCCATAATGGTAATTAGGGAAGAGGTATTTGGAGACCTATGCACAAAAAGGTAAGTGATCCGAGTAAGGGGTGTCTCCTTTCATACGGTGGCAGGTGAGAAAGCATTTTTGCAATTGAAACAGTTGGGGGATACTCTAAATTATTTATCATTAATTAAAATATAATTTATATATTTAAAAATATTTATTTATTTAAATTTTAAATACAATTTATATATTTGAATATAATATTTATTTATATATAATTTATTTTAAATTTTAGTTATATATAATAAATATTTAACATGTGCATTGTATAAACTATAATATTAGTATAACATAATTAATATCTTCAAATATAATATTATTTACATATATAATTTATTATAAATTTAAATTATATTTAATACACATTTAACTTATTATTAAAATATTTTATTCATCCTAATTGAAAATACTTTGAGATCAATAGTGCAATTTGAATCCGACTCATAGTTTATAGGTTGAAAAATTATTAAATAGTTAGCATAACCAAATATTCATGATCCTAACTAATTATTACATGACATGTATGTAAGTTTTTTAACTCACTAAAAAATAATTACATGTCATGTAAAGACTAATTAGGATCCTGTGATCCAAGTATCTAATAATTTCTTATATGAATAAGAGTGTAAATAGATTTTTTTGAAGAAAACGAAAGATACATTTAAGTTATAATTAAAGTATATATTTAATTTGTAATTGATACTTAAAATTACATTTAAGAGAGGAGTGAATCTTTTGTAGAAATAGTCTAAGAGGAATGTGCATATAATAACACAACCAAATTGTAAAAGAGTACATATTGTAGTGACAAATCAACAAAACAGGTGACATGGCAAGAAAAACAGTTATTGACGTAAAAGCGTCGTG